AAACAAAAGGAATCCAAAGAGGACCACACCAAGACACATCATAATTAAAATGCCAAGGGCAAAAGACAGAGAACCTTAAAAGCAGCAAGAGAAAAACAGTTACCTACAAGGGAGTACCCATATGACTGTCAGCTGATTTCTCAACAGAAACCATGCAGGCCAGAAGGGAGTGGCAAGAAATATTCAAAGTGAAGAATAGCAAGAACCTACAACCAAGATTACTCTACCCAGCAAAGCTATCATTTAGAATTGAAGGTCAGATAAAGAGCTTCACAGATAAGAACAAGCTAAAGGAATTCATCACTGCCATACCAGTATTATATGAAATGCTGAAGAGTATTCTTTAAGAAGAAGAAGAAAAAGGTAAAGATAAAAATTATGAACAAAGTGACAACAAATACATATCTATCAACAAATGAATCTAAAAATCAAGTGAATAAAAAAATCTGATAAACAGAATAAACTGGTGACTATAATAGAATCAGGCATAGAAAGGGAGTGGACTGAATTCTCGGTGGGAAGAGGGCGTGGGGGGTGCGGGAAGACTGGACAAATATCGAATACCTATGGATGAGGACATTAGGGGGGGGTGGTAAGGGCATGGGATTGGGTGGGAACCGGGTGGAGGGGAGCTATGGGAAGAAAAAAGAGGAACAACTAATCTGAACAATAAAGACTGATTTAAAAAAAATACCATAGAGATAATTGCGCAAAGATGGGATCATGAAATGAAAACTTCCTACAAAAAATTTGCCTGTTTGCATACTGAGGATGCCACTGGCTGAGCGAGGTTTCTTCCACATCATTCTTCTGGCGGAAATCCTATAGTTTGGCAATATTTGCAACTGAACTTTGGAGGGGGTCGCTTCTGCCATGCTCCCAGACACAGGTCTGTGGAGCTCCGTGCTATGGGAAGTGGGCTGTAACCTCATGAAACTAAAGTTCGAGGTCCCAGGAGCAAGTGCTTCCCGGGGAAGGAAAGAAAAGTGCCCCAAAGAAACGGCTTCATACGTAACAGGGACTGTCCCAAGAGAGTCATGCCCGTGCTGTGCCGTGGCCCCGTGCTGTGCTGTGGCCTATCAGAGCATTAAAAGTGACAGTGATTAGAGGTTCCCTTGCCTCTACCTGTGCAGTATTTGCTAAAATCTAATCTCACAAAAGCAGGATGCTGTAGCCAGGCCTCTGGCAGGAATGACGTCCTGCTGCCTCGGGGCAGGTTGTGGTCCCAGCCCAGGGCCACGGGCAGGGCCCAGAAATGGGGAGTGAAGGGGACTTAGAGAATAAATGCTCTTCAGTGGAGACATACTCTTCAGTGGAGACATAGAGCAACTTCTAGGCTTTTCTAGGACATTTCATGTCCCGTGATGCCTCATCCCTGGACACCCAACTCGCCCAGAATTAATGGAAAGGATCGATACTTCCATTAACAAACAGAAGTAAAAGAGGGAAATGAGGAACACATAATCTGGAGGCATTTGCCTGGAGATCTGTCACAAAACAGAGAGGGATCAAAGGAACGGATGAGCTCTCCAGCGGTTGTTTGCTGATTCCAAAGTCATTGCACAATCCTATCTAATAAAGACAGAATATGCAAATTGACTGTAACTTTGCAACAAAGATGGTGGCGCCCACAGCCAATAAGGAGGGAATATGCAAATTGACACAAGGCGAGAGGCAGAAAGGCAGCTCTGGGCTGGAGTGAAGGCGGTGCTGGCAGCCAGGGGAAGGAAGGCTTATTCTTGCACGAATCTTCATGCATTGGGCCTCTAGCTGTAAAATAATCTACAGATCACTTCCTATTGGAAAGAGCAGTGATGTCACGAGAGAACAGTGCTCTCCTCTGCCTCCAGAAATCTGCCCAGTGGACAGTAAAGGAATAGAAAAGGACCAGCAAAACAGAGAATGGTGTTGGGAATAAAGTCATGATAAGTACCTCTGATGAAAACTAACTCCTGGGAACACAGAAACATACACAAAAGCATAAAAATAACACAACGTACTACACAGAGCTCAGCTGTGGACATTGTGTGTCATATTGAAGGAGGGCTGCTTTTACAAAAATAAGTCTTAGCCCGGCTGGTGTGGCCCCATGGTGGAGTGTCAACCTATGAACCTGGAGGTCACAGTTCAACTCCCTATCAGGGTACATGCCAAGGTTGTGGGTTCCATCACTAGTAGGAGGCAGCCGATCTATGATTCTCTTTCATCATTGATGTTTCTATTTTTCTCTCTTTTCCTCTCTCTGAAATCAATTAAAACAAAACAAAAAACAAAACAAAATTAAATTAAATTAAAAAAACCCAAAAAACAAAAGTCCTAGAAAGTTGACACTATATGCAGATATGATTTTGTTAAAAAACGAATAGCAAAAAAGAAAGAAAACTAAGCAAATGAAAAAAAACAAGGCAATAATCTCTAGGAAAAACAAAACTCTTACAAGAAAATGTTACAGTAGTGCTCAGGCTCACATGACCCATAGTTACAATTCAGTGCGCGAAGCAGACGTGAACAGTGTGTGAGGGGCACCTGTGCAGGGGGTGTGGGGGGGAAGGCACACGCGCCAGGTCCCCATGTCTCAGTGGTTTGTCCATGGCTAACATCTAACATGAGTCAGTCAAGCAGCAAGGCAGCCAGGTTCAGACACGAGGAGAAAGGGGGGCGGGTGCCTCAGCTGGGGGAACCGAGGGCTGAGGTTGGGGCCGCACTGCTCATCAAGGCCCTTCGGTAGTGCTTGACATTTATCAACTATGGCCGTGCTATTCCCTGGATGAAAACAAGGATTCATCTTAAAAATAAGGAGCCCTGCCCAGCCAGTGTTGGCTCAGTGGTTGAGCATCTATCTGTCTTTTGGACCAGGAGGTCATGGTTTATTTAATTCCTGGTCAGGGCACATGACTGGGTTGCTGGCTAGATCCTCAGTGTGGGGTGTGTAGGAGGCAGCCAATCAATTATTCTCATCATTGACGTTTCTCTCTCTCCCTCCCTTCCTCTCTGAAATCAATAAAAATATATATGGAGCTGTGGCTCAGTGGATACAGTGTCAATTCCCAGTTGAGTGCACCTACCTGGGTTGCAGGTTCAATCCTCAGTCAGGGCACATGCAGGAGGCAGCTAATGGGTGAGGAGGCAGCTAATGGGTGTGTCTCACATCGATGTGTCTCTCCTGTTCCTCCCCTCACTTCCACACTCTCTAAAAAACATCAGTGGAGCCCTGGCTGGTTTTCTCAGTGGTTAGAGTGTCAGCCTACAGACTAAAGGGTCAGGGGTTTGATTTACAGTCAAGGGCATGTACCTTGGTTGCAGGCTAATCCCCAGCCCTGGTCAGGGCATGTATAGGAAGCATCCAATGGATGAGTCTCTCTCACATCAATGTTTCTCTCTCTCTCCATCCCTTCTATTCTCTCTCTTATAAAAAAGGAAAAAAATATCCTTAGGAGAGGATCATACATACATACATACATACATACATAACATGGACCTCATCCTTGCCTGGGTGGCTCAGTTGGTGGGAGCATTGTCCCCTGCAACCAAAGGTCACCAGTTCAATGCCCGGTAAGGGCACATGCCCAGGTGGCAGGTTTGGTCCCTGGTTGGGGCGTGTGTGGGAGGCAACAGATGGATGTTTCTCTCTCACATTGAATGATGTTTCCCTCTGTCTCCCCTTCCTCCCTAAGATCAATAAAATAAGTTAAATAAATAAAAGGACCTCAACTCTCCCAGGACCCTCTTCTTCCCATTCAGCTGTCCCCAACCCAAGACTTTGGAGGTGGGATGGGGAGGGGAGGGGGGGCCTGTGCCTCAGGGCCTGCAGGGGTGCAGTGCTGACCACAGCCGGGCACCATGAGAAGTGCTGGAAACAGTCCCTCGAGGCCCACGGGCCCCTACGCAGCACTCAGGGGCATGTGTACAGTCTGTGCTCTGAGGCCTCCATGCCCACTCCTAATTTCAGCCTCTAAACTGTAAGCACGCCCTAACCGGTTTGGCTCAGTGGATAGAGCGTCGGCCTGCAGATTGAAGGGTCCCAGGTTCGATTCCGGTCACCGGCATGTACCTTGGTTGCGGGCACATCCCCAGTAGGGGGTGTGCAGGAGGCAGCTGATCGACGTTTCTCTCTCATCGATGTTTCTAGCTCTCTATCCCTCTCCCTTCCTCTCTGTAAAAAACCAATAAAATATATTTAAAAAAATAAATAAATAAACTGTAAGCACTAGGTAGACAGGAGACAGTTCCTGATGAGGAGGGAATTCCGCTCCCTCTGCCCGCGTGGTGCTGTGAGGATGAAGCAGTGTAAAAGCTGGCTCGGGTTCGGGCCCGCCAACGCTGCCCGAGGAGCGACACAGGCTCCCCGAGCAGAGGCCTGTGGCTGCTGCCAGGGCCTCCTGTGCTTTCAACTACACGGTGCAGCCAGGGCACTTTCATTCCATCGTGAAATTCACTGCCCACTTACATCCACAGTGAGGCTCATGCCCGGGTGACGTGAAGATGCACTGGGACATGCAGCAGAGCACCGTCCTGTAAGTGGAAAGTAAGTGCGTGTCTGACCCACTGCTGTGTGAGGTGCCTGACGGGCATCACAGGACGGGGGCTCCACCTTTTCCGCTCACTCACCTCCATAACACCAAGCAGAGACCCCTGCCCTCCTGCTTCCCAGCACAGTGCTGGGGAAAAGCAGCACATGGCCCTGGGGAAGGGCAGGCATTGGGGAGCAGGGAGGGCACCCAGGGACGGTGAGTGGTGCTGAGGCAGATGGACGCCCGGAGGAATTCATCACCAATACCCTGCAGCCACCACTGTGATGCGAAGGTAGAGAAAAAGGTAGGCATGGGGTGGAAAGACATCATTCTTTATAAATAAAAGGCTCCTCGGTGTCAGTATTCACATTAGAAAAATATACACGCCTTGAAATAGACCCTCTGCATAAAATCAGTCGGCTGTGTTCTGACTCCCTCTCGCCGGGAGGGCTCTGCGCCTCGGTCTCCGGAGGAAGCCCTCCCGGCGGCCCGGCTGCAGGGCAGGCCGCTCCGCTCAGGGCCGGTGGACAATGCCCGCCTCCCAGACACTACGGCGCCCGGAGGGGCCAGGACAGTCACGTGGGAAGACAACAGCTCCTGGCACCCGCTGGTGATCTCAAAGCCACGGCCTCACCCTCGGCGACGACGCTCTCCGGTTCCCTCTGGTCAGTGTGTGGCCGGGTCCGAAGGGCGACTGGTCCATGCGCGCACGGGGCCCGAGACCCACGGAGCAGACAGCGGAGGCCCGGCTGGGACACGGGCTGCAGGGACAAGACTTTCTCCGGCGGAGGGACCGCAGCCGCGTGAGCAGGGCCTCACCGGCACTCCGGGGCTCCAGCCCCGCCAGGCAGCAGGGACGCACCCCTCCCGCGGACATGCAGCCGCCGCGGAGTCCCCGCCACCCAGGTCTGAAGAGGGTCCCTGCGCACCCTCGGTGGGGCTCGCTGCGGCCGGCTCCGGGTCAGCACCCCCGGCTGGGCTGTCCGGGCTGAGCGTGAAGGCCCGGCCCACTGACATCCCACGCAAGGGGGGGCCCCACACAGGCTCCTGGCTGCTACCCCGGCAAGCGCTCTCAGCTGCTGGCCCAGCCCGTGCTGCTGTCGCCCGCAGATCTCGGTGTGGTCTGGCCTTCCTCACGCCAGGGACAGGCGGTCCCATTGACTCCAGGGGCAAACCTTACGGCGAGGGAAACAGGAAGTCACCCACGTGCTGTGTCATGGCCTGTGCGCTGCACTCATTGTCCAAACAGGCTGCCACGCGCATGTGCAGCAAAAGGAAAACATAAACTCCTGCTGCCTGGACGGGAGCTTCCCAGGACGGACGGACGGACGGAGCCACGGGAGGAAGTGCAGCCCCGTGGGCAGGGAAGCTGGGTCCCGCGGGTCAGAGTTTTCCCTGTTCTCATGAATAAACCTGCCCCGCCCCCCTGCAGGATTAAGCAATGAGTTAGGAATGGAGAGGCCTCTTTAAATCAGACCGCACCAGCGGGCGGCCCTGCGAAGCTGGCTTGTAAGAGAGTTTCCCATGGTTCTCAAAATGCCCAGGTTCAAGGTGCCCAACTAGGGCAGGACTGAAAGCCAGAATACGTCATGTTTGCAAGTGCTACATCTCGGCGGGCACTCGGAGCCCAGTCTCCGGAAAGCCTAGCCAGACTCGGGGGAGCCCTGGGCCCCTCCTGGCACATCACCCACCACCACATGGCGGCTCTTCATTTCAACACGGGACCCAAGAAAACCTCCAAGACCTCGAGATTCCTGGGGACGCATATGAGCGACAGAACATGGGGAAGCCGAGATAAAGCTCTTGAGAAACCGGAGGGCAGGGCTCTCTTAAATGTGGCCATAGGGGCTCCGGCTGAAAAGCAGGCCCTTGAGTCACAGCCGTAACCACACAGCGTCTCACCCTTGCTGGCCGCCCGGGGACGTCCTCTGGCCGCCACTGCAGGCGGAAGCCTCGGGGGGCTCCTGGGGCAGAGCTGCCCTTCTGGGCCTTTTCGCTGAAGTCAGTGTCTCCCCTGCGGTCTAGGGAGAGCAGCCAGTCAGCGGAAGGAAGGTGCAGGCGGCCGGTACCTCCCCTCCTGGAGCGGCGCTGAGAGTGAAGGCAAACCCAGCCGTCCCCACGCACGCCAGGCAGGCCCGGCCCCGCCCCGCCGGCCCACCTCGTTCTCCCTCTTCGGCGGGCTGGCCTCCCGGCCACGGCACGCGTGTCGGATGCCGTCGGTGTGTGTTTCCTCCTTGCGCAGGAATTCCTCCGTGATTCCCAAGGACTCGGCCACCTGAGGAGCACAGGTGAAGGACTGAAAGCCTGCCTCTGAGTCTGCGAAGTCCCTCTGTACAGCGAGGCGCCGTCTGCACAGGGAAAGTGAAGGTCAGTGTGAGGTGGAAGAGCCAGTGGTGAAAGCCGCTCCCAGAGCCAGAGCCGCTGGGTTAGCAGGTCAGGAGACACCAGCAAGGTTTTTAATAAAATTTAAAACACTCTCTTTCGTGTCACCACAAGCTTAATAACGTTAGTCTGCTGCCACGGCCGCTGTCTCGCCCACTGTGCCTCCTTTTCTGAATTCTCCCTGGTACTTCAGAAAAAGAATCCTGCCTATTCCAGAACCACGTCTCCTTTCCCAGTCGGTGGACGGGACGTGGATTTGGGAGGCTGGGAGCCCCGGCTGGCCCTGGCAGCTGCCCATGTGGGACCACAGCCGCTGGAGGGGTGGGGGGATGACGCCAGGTTCCACGTGGAGCAGCAGGTGTGAAGGTCGTCGTGGACATCGGTCGGCATTTACGCACGGACCGTGGAGAGAACACCAAGAGCATGCGGGGGCAGCAGGGAAGCAAGGGCAGATCAAGGTCAGAGGAGAGGCCAGGGGCCGGCGAGTTTAGCATCCAGCGACCTGACAGTGTCCCCTGGCTAACAGTGTGGGACTTTGCGGGCCAGAGAACTGCTCCGGGACATGGCAGTGGGATGAGGCGATTCTCCCTGACCACGTGGCACACGTCCTCGCAGCAAAGGCTTGTATCCAAAAGAAACCAAACCAGGGCTTTTTCAAAAACATTTCTATCAGAAATAAACAAGCAAAAAACACACACAAAAAAGAAGGAAAAAACAAAACAAAAAACCGCATTTCTGTCAAGGACCCAAGATTGCTAAAGGCAATTTGATGACAATGACATTGAAATGAGAAATTTGTCAAAACAACCACAAGCAAGACCGTTGGGCTGTGTGTAACCCAAAAATCTACATAATGAAGGACCCTATTAACCGTGGCAGTGACTCCGACTCCGATCAGCGGGAGGAGAATCGTGATGGTGTGGACTTCCTGGAGCTTATCTGCATTTCCGAGTTCCCTGAAGACAGCATTTATCGCCTTCACGTGAAAAGAAAGAGTGACAGCGCGGCCGACAGTGCCCACGTCACCACGGAAATGCACGTTCTCCTGCAGAACCGCTCATCCTCCGAGCAGAGCGCTTCCCAGCGGGACCCTTACCTCTGGATCCTTTATTTCCAGGGGCTCCTGAGATCGTGGGCTGGGGCCACGGAGGTAATCCTGACACATTTTTTTAACCATCTGATGCAACTCTTCAAACTCCTTGTACACGGCTGGGAACAAAGGCTGTGCTAGATGACCTTTCTCAACCTTAATGAAGATAAAAATGAAGACGTTGACACCGGAGGCAATGAGAGGGAAAATACAGAAGGACGCGTCGAGGGAAGGAGACGGGTTCCTCAGCCCTCGTCGAGGCCTGTCCCCGGCAGGCGTTCCCTTCACTGCCCAGGGAGAGCCTGTGTGCCCAGCACTGCGCCCGCAGGGCTGCACGAGTGGGCCTGGAGCAAAGGGGACATAGAAAGGCCTGCGGGGGGCCTCCTCTCCCTGGCAGCTGCTGGGAGGTGTGCGGTGTGGGTGCAGGAGCCCAGGCGCGGCATCAGAGTGGGCTCACCAGGGCCCAGAGCCCGCTTGGAGGTACCCAGCGTGGGGGAGTCCAGAGTGGAGGAAGCCAGGGAGGGAGGGTGGGTAGGTGGGTAGGTGGGTGCTGGGGCCGTGTGCTGCCAGGGTTTGCCGCTACCCCCTCGGTGCCTCCCACAGAAGCTAAAGCTGCCCGGGGAGACCAGGGCCTCCGGCAGCACCAGCAGCCTCACCAGCTCCGTCCAGAGGGAAAGGACTGCAGAAGGCCTGGCTCCTAACCTAACGTGAAGGACACCTTTCTAAATGGCCCTGGTCATCCCCTGGACCGTGCAGGAACACTCGCCTTCGTCAGCAGAAATTCATACACGGTCACGGCCTGGGCCAGCCGGGGCAGAGCCAACTCCACGAGGTCCTCGAGCCCACAGTGCTGCAGAACCTACCAGAAGAGAGCGACTGACATCTTTGAAAGCCCACAGAGCCTCCCATCAGCCAACAAGCTGCTGCAACAAAGAACATAAAAGGCAGAAAGGTCCCTCAAATCTCAGTGATGAAGCACTCTACACCACGAACACTCTGCTTTGTTAACTCTCGCTTGTTCCCCATGAACAAAATCCTGAGATCCACCTGGATTCAGAGCCTGACTCCCCGACAGCCCTGAGCACGGAGTGGATACGAGTTCTGGATAACGACATGGCGACGGGGAGACGCGCTCCCTTCTCTCCAGGGCTCCAGGCTCACCAGCCTGAGAAGAACAGGCACAGAAATCCCAAGGCAGCCAGTCAGGGCCCCACCAAAGCACAGGTGGGAGAGGAAGAGGACCAGGTGACAGGCAGGCAGGGCGGGGGGGGGGGGGGGTATCTGGGCGGCAGCAGGGAGGGTGCAGTCCCCAGGGCTGAGTGACCGCTGGAAGAGGAGGGGTGCGTGAGGGGAAAGGAGAGCCATGGGTGCTCTGGGTGCCCGGCTGAGCTCTGGGCAGACCTGGCAAGGTGGGTGGGAAAGGAACCAGCTGTGGGACGTTTGGAATCGAGGCTGAAGCGCCAGAGAGGCCTGAACAGGAGGAACAGATGTGAGAGCCAGCAGGGGAGCGCGGGTCGAGACACAGGGGGATGGACGAGGGCAGCCAGGGCAGCAATAGGGTGGCGGAAGCGGAGAGCCCTAGAGACAGGAAGGCCCCGAGGCTCAGGGAGGACATGGGCTCAGGGAGGTTGAGGAGCCATCAGCGGAGCCAGTGGCTCAGGAAAGTCACAAAAGCAAAAGGAAGACCTTTCTCTGCGGGACCGGGTGTTTAACTACGACTAAGCCCTTTGATGACAATGACATTGTACACGGCTGGGAACAGAGGCCGTCCAAAGCCCTTTGTCACTGCAAAGCCCATAGAGCAATGACCAGCGGGTTTCCAGGACTCGGGAGGTGTGGGTGGAGGGAAAGTGGGCATCGTCTCGCCACACCTGGCCAACAGCAGCCAGGCACCTCCTCCTTCTCTGGCAACTGTCCCAGGCCGTTGTGGCTGTCATCGTTCCCCAAGTGGGGTGTCTCTCGCGCACACTGTCCCCCCCACACCCAGGACAGGCCTGGTCCGTGCAGGCAGCAGCGTGTGCTCTAGCGCCCGGTTCGGACGGCCTCTCTGCGAGTCAGGGTGCGGTCAGCAGTCCTCACGTCCCGTGCCACCTCGCTAACGTGAAGGACCACCGTGTTCGAGTCCCCGTCACACGGAGCAGACAGGCCGTGCGTGGACACCAAACACCCTAGATCCAGGTTCCAGACCTGCCACCCCAGGGGACCTGTGCGCGGTGCAGCCTCTGCAGTCTCAGCTCCTCACTGTTAAGCGAGGTAACCACCGTCAGGGACGGTGAGGGGAGCGCACCACGAACTCCGCACGGGCCAGGGCCGCGGCTGGGCTGTGCAGAGGGCCTAACCCGGTGGTGGAGGCTAATTGATGCTAACGAGTGAGTCAAGCCAAGGACTACCTCACCTCCTACTCCTGGACACGTCACCCGGATTAATGAACAAGCCCCCACCCCCACCCCCACAAGCCAGTTCACGAGGGCTCGCATTTCCCGCTAGAACTGTAACCTCACGGAGCTCTCTAGGAAGCCACTTCCTGTGAAACCACTTCCTCCCCTGCGTGTGGAGCCGGTGTCTCGCTGACTGGCCTCGCGCTCTCTTGCTGGCTCTCACTTCCCTTAAGACATCCATCCATCCGCCGTGACCAGGCAAATACATGTATCCTGGCCAAAGGCAACTTGAGTGAGTCCCACTTTTCCCAGTTAGTCCAGCTAGATTCAGTGCACTGCCCTGGCTGGTGTGGCTCAGTGGACAGAGCGTCGGCCTGCGGACTGAAGGCTCCCAGGTTTGATTCTGGTCAGGGCACATGCCCGGGTTGCGGGCTCCATCCCCAGTGTGGGGTGTGCAGGAAGCAGCCGATCAATGATTCTCTCTCATCATTGATGTTTCTACCTCTCCCTCTCCCTTCCTCTCTGAAATCAATAAAAATATTTTTTAAAAAGAAGATAAATAAATAAATAAGTTCCATACACCTTCTTTCCGGGCTGGGTTGGAGATTCCCGGACTCAAAACCTGAAACATGCTTTTATATCTTGCAACTTATGACAGTAACAACCGCAAAAACTACTTCTGTTGTTTTCTGAATGGCTTCCATGAAAACACGGGTTATAATTTTCCAAAATGTGTAAAGGCAAGCAGCCCTTGCTGTAGGTAAGACCCTCTGGTCCGTTCAGACAGGTAAACCTGAATGGTTCTAGGTGAACAGCCTGGAATTAACTGCGGGCTTCAGCCAAGTGCACTCCAGGTGAACTGCCTACCGATCTCGGTACTTTACGTTCCAATTCAGGAGCCTAATAGCGAACGGCCACATTCCACGCCAAACAGGTCTCACCCCGTGTGAGAGCGACGTACCTCCTGGAGCCCGGCTCTGCTCCTGGCAGCTCGGCTCTGGCCCGCGGGGGCCGGGGCGTAGCCCCTTTCAGGTCCGGGGTGTCTCTCTGATTCCCAAAGGGCTGAGTAACGTCCATCTGCTGGTTCCGTCACCAGCGCCGCTTCCCCTTCCATAGGCTGACCGTTCTAGAGGGTGTTGGGAGGGGCAACAAGGGGAGAGGAGGCGCCCAGGTGTCACTGCCGATGTCCAAGGAGGCACCGTGGGCCGCCGCCCCCAATCCCGACCTTTCCCAAGACGCGCTGTCAGCTGGAGTGCGCTGCACGCAGCCCGATGACCACGCCGAGGACCGGGCTGTGCCGGACAGACACCTCCCTTCCCCGGCAGCAGGCCCACAAGGTGGGTCTCAGATCTCCCAACAAGAGGACTTGGTTCTGCTTGAGCCTCTGCCTGAACCCCTCGAACACCATGAAGGCTACTTTAAGGGTGACGGCAGCAACAGGACACTGCCACCAGACAGAAAGCTCACCTGCGGGCCACCCCGAGCTGACGGGGCCCCTTCCGCACTCAGAGGAGCTGGTGTGGACGATCCCGGGGGCGTGGGGCCCTCCGCACAGCCCCGGGCCATGCTCCCCTTGGCTTCCTCAGACAGCAACGGCTCCGGCTGGGGCTGGCCATGGCCCGGCTGGAGTTTAAAGTGCCGGGCCAGTCCCCCCTTCCCTATGTACGACTTCCCACACGTCTGACACCTGAAGGCTCTGGGCCTCAGGGAGCTGCTCGGCAAGTCAAAGAGCGCCTGCTTGTCCCGCTGCTCCTCCTCCTCTTCCACACTCAGCTCTGAATAATCGTCCGAGTCGGACGGGTGGCTGTCGGCCAAATCCTCCATCCGTATGAATTTATAATCTTTGGCTTTATACCTGGGAGGTCGAGATATCCGCCCAGAACGTGTTTTCACTTTGAAAGGTTTTTTTAGTTTCTCAGTGTGTTTTGTATGCAAGTTGGAAATAAATAAATTTGCTGAACTGGATGAAACAGATGTTACTGCTGGCTGGCCGGAGGTTGACTGAGGGGCCGACGTGGCGCCGAGTCCATTTGGCGCCTGGGGGGCCACAAGTCTCACCGCAGGGACCGGCCGGAGGGCGGGCAGTGGCCTCTGGAGCAGCACCTGGACAGGAGGCTGCGGCCGGGCGCTCAGGAGGGGCTGTGCCCTGGGCAGCCGAGGGCTGGCGACGCTGAGCCCCAACACGCGGCAGTGCCTCCCGGGCGGCTGGCTCGGCCGGGCTGTCCTGGGATGGACGGTGGCCAGCTGGGGCTTCGGCCCTTCCTGACCTTTCGTTTCTCCAGACGTTACCGTGACACAGATGGTTTCCAGTTGCTTTAAAAAGAAAAGAAGCATTTAGCTTATCAATGTTTCTGCAATTTTGCTCTCATCTTAAATCCACCATGGACATTTTTTCTACATTATAAAATGCACCCCGGCCGCCGTGGCCGAGTTGTTGGGCGTCGTCCCGTGCACCGAAAGGCTGCCGGTTCAATTCCCGGTCAGGGTGCACGCCAGGTGCTGGGCTCAATCCCTGGTCGGGGGTGTGCAAGCAGCAACCAATCAATGTCTTAGTCTCACATTGATGTTTCTCTTTCTCTTTCCCTCCCTCTCTCTCTAATTATCAATAAAAAATCTTCAAAAAAATAAAATTATGCCCGACCAGCATGGCTCAGTTGTTGAGCGGTAACTTATAAACCAGGAGGTCACGGTTCAATTCCCGGTCAGGGCACATGCCCAGGTTGCGGGCTCCATTCCCAGGTTGCAGGCCCCATTCCCAGGGTGGGGCAGGAGGCAGCCAATCAATGATTCTCTCTAGTCATTGCCGTTTCGATCTCTCTCCCTTTTCCTTCCTCTCTGAAATCAATAAAAATGTATGAAAAAATAAAATTATAAAATGCATCTCAAAAATCTATGTAATAAAAAAAAAGTCTATGTAATATAGGGTGTCCCAAAAAACGTATACACACACTTTGAATAATTATAAAAGCAGTGCTTATTCAAATACATTTCATTCTTTTTTTTTTTTTTTTTAAATATATTTTATTGATTTTTTACAGAGAGGAAGAGAGAGGGACGGAAAGTTAGAAACATTGATGAGAGAGAAACATTGATCAGCTGCTTCCTGCACACTCCCCAATGGGGATGTGCCTGCAACCAAGGTACATGCCCTTGACCGGAATCGAACCTGGGACCTTTCAGTCCGCAGGCCGACGCTCTATCCACCGAGCCAAACCGGTTCTGGCAACATTTCATTCTTGAAATGGAGCCGTCACCTGTTAAAGTGTGTAGTTTTGGGGACAGCCTGCATAGCTGTACCGTTTATAGTGATGTTTCTGAACCTTTCTCACCAAGTGATACATTTTGTCACATCCACAGGTTAGTGTGGAAGCATTTGCACACTAAGAAATAGAAGTGTGTGCGCCAAACCCTATTGTTTTAGAACGACCACAGCACAAACATGGCCTCAATTTTTGATCTGCTATGGCCACTGGTTTCCCATGTGGGTGTCACATTCGTTTCATTGAGCAGACTTTCTGAGTCCCTCTGGGCGCCAGCGTAGACATCGGCAAAGCCCTGCCTCCCCAGAGGAGGCGGGTAGTTAGTCCCCTGCCTGCCCCAGTCGCCTGCAGACGAGCTGAGCGGGACCTCCTGCCCTGAAATCTGTACTTTCAACAGCTCCACTGCTGGTTCTGAAGGCAGAGAGGTTCCCTAAGGAATGCAGACAGGAAAGCAATGCCACCCGCCACCGTGGGGCAACAGGGGCAGTGACTCCCAGGAGTGGGTGGCTTCCCGAATGACCTCTGGGGTGGGGGGTGGGGGCCGGGGCCCTGGAGGCTGAGTAGAATTTTTCCAGGTGGGAAGGTATTCCAGGTGTAAGAAAAACAGGGCGCGGCTATTAGAGGAAGCTAGCAGTGTTTCCGCGGGGCAGGAACGGGAGGGACGGGAACAGCCTGACCCGTGGGTGTGTGTCCACTGGGGCTGTGCCTTCCGATCCGCACACCCCACAGAGAACCCCCTTCTCTAAATGCACCCCCCGCATGCGCTCCTCTTCCGCACGTTCAACGGCACCCCCTCCCAATCTAGTGCGGACACCACCTCTTCCACAACCGCTTCTGACCCCTCAGCCAGAAGCCTCTTTCTCTAATGCATTTAGCCCTTCCCCTGTGCCTACAGCTTTCTTTTCTTTAAATATGTTTTTATTGCTTTTAGAGAGAGAGGGGGAGGGAGAAGGATAGAGAGAGAAACATGTGCCCTGGCCGGGAATCGATCCAGTGACCTCTTGGTTCATGGGTTGATGCTCAGCCACTGAGCATCACCGGCAGTGTCCTCTAGCTCTCCGACTGTGATCAGAAGTTTGAGTCCCGTTTTACCTCCCTGGTTAGATTATTGCCTCCTTAGGGGCCAGGGGCACATCTTGTTTGCCTCTGTGGCCTCCGTGGCGCAGCTGGTCCAAGAGTACTCGCTGAACAGGCCACACAATTCCATTATTGTGATTCCAGGTAGAATTTATATCCTCCCTTGAAATATTAATGTTTATTGCATATAACATTATTATATTTAAAATAATTTTTCTTGAAATATTAAAAAATATTTTTTAAAAACCACACACACACACACAGAATTTATATCCTTCCAATTAGAGGAGCTACAGAACACAATCGCGCCTCCTAACTGTAGTTTGCTTTCATGTGGTGGAAAATGTCATTTTCGGACTCTTTCCTAAGTTGTCACACCAAACCCAAAAGGCTGTGGCCACATTCCACAGGCCCTGGAGGGCAGCCACACGCGGGGGACCCTGGGCACAGGCACCTAACCTCTCTGAGCCTGTTGCTGGCCTGCAAACGCTGATACAAACCCTTGTGCGCGGCTGCTGAGAGCCCCTCTGTGCGCAGCACGGGGCCGGCGGGGAGCGGTGTGTGCAGGCGACAGCCACCCTCACCCTCTGGCTGCTCAGACGTGCTGTGTCCAGAGCATGCAGGAGGAAGCAGTTTGGGCAGAATCGTACTTGTCTTCTCCAACTTTAGCTAGACAACTCTCCAGGGTCGATGCGGAAGTGGGTACAGCTCCAAGAAGCCGAAATCACCGGGTGCGGGGAGGGGACCTCGACCATGAGGACTGTCCATTCTGTCCTCTGCCCACCTGGAGGAAGAAGCGCCTGGGGAAGCTGGGATGAGGGGCGGCTGTCATTCACGGCCCAGTGCTGAAAGGGGACCTGGGCTTCAGGGGCTACAAGACCCTGTTTCATTCCCCACCTCCCTACTAACCAAGAGCCTGGCACCCTGGAAAGGATGCCACTGGGAAAGGAGGTTTTGTGGTATATTTTTTGCATATTTCATGCATGAAGGGTATGGCAGGCGCTGTGCTGAGCACTGAGTTACAAATCCAGGCGCTACTACTGCAGGGCGCCAAGTCCGCACCCGCCACCACCACGCACTTAACTCTGCGGCGAGAGGTTGAGTATCGACCTAGGAGCCTGGAGGTCACGGTTCCAGCCCCAGAAAGGGGGGCGGGGGGGCGTGCAGGAGGCAGCCGATCAATGATTCTCTCTCATTACTGATGCTTCTATCTCTCCCCCGCCTCTGCCTTCCTCTCCGAAATCAATAAAAAAATATACTTTTTAACAAAAAATGTACTTAATTCTGTCCTGAGTCTCAGCAGCTGCCACCGGAAAAGTTCTCGGCGTTGGCTCCTGGGAATCCATCCGGGTCTCTCGCTGCCGCGGCCCCTGCGGCTCCCGGCACCTGCCCGGGAGCGCCCGCCGGGTGTCCTGGTGACGCTCGTCCGCGGAAGTGCCCGTAAGTGCGCAGTGAACCGCGAGGCCTGCGGCGGCGCTGGCGGCCGGGCGGCAGGAGGGCCCGGCGCGGGCGAGGCTCCCGGCCAGGCGCGTCGGGAGCTGCAAACCCCGGCGGAGACGGCGGGGGGTGGGGGCGAGCCGTCCCCGGGAGGCCAGTGCGGGGACCCTGAGTCTGGCCAGGCGGACGTGGCCTCCCCGGCCCCGTTCCCCACGTCCCTCCCGGCGCCTCACCTGGGGCGGCAGCGGGCGCGGCGGGCGCGCGAGCTGGGCGCGGGGACCCGACTGCGGGGCGGCCCGCGGGACGGAGGGCGGCGGCTGCGCCTGGGCCACCTGCTCCAGGACCTGCCGCAGCTGATCGGGGCCCAGCGGGGCCAGGCGCGCGGCGCTGCCGCTCCGGCCCGGGGCCCCGGGCTCGGAGCCCGCCATGGCGTCCGACGCGGGGACTCGAACCGGGGTCGTCGGGCGACGGCGGCTCAGATTCGCCTCACGGGAAAGGAGCGGCTACGAGTGCCGGGCGGGCCCAGAAGCCTCGGAAGGCGACCGCGAAGGGATACGTCGGTGGGCGGGGCGTAGGGTGGCCCCGCCCCCTCACACGACAGAACCAGCCGGCCACGCCTGTCTGTCAAGGACTGACCTCACCTTCAGGGGTCATGTCCGGCAGCTTTTGAAACCTGTCGGGCAAGAAAAAAGTTTCCTCTTCCCATTTTGGTTCGGCTTTTGAGGGCCTGCAAATTAAACTGACAAAAGACAAGTTAATTAGAAAAAAGACAAAATGCAACCATGTTTTTATTCATGTACCTGCCAGAATTCACAGGAAAATAAAAGTGACTCAAAGAGGCAGTTAGAGTGTGGGCTGTACACTCTTACCAGAGGAAGGAGGGAGAGGGGCGCCCGGGGAAACGGGGCTGTTGGGAAGGTGAATAGGCCCTTCCCTGCAGTAGGTGGGGCGATGATAGCTTGTGAAATGCGTTTAGGTGTCCTGAGTTAGTCTTTCCTGATTGCTCCCAGGGAAGGCGATTTATGACAGTCGCATTCTTCTGCGTTCTTTTTGGAAGGCTCTGCTTTTTTAGGCAGAAAAGACTGCTCAGGAATTCAAATGCCTTTTGCTCAAAATGTTTTTTATGTCACAGAGGCATATTCTGGACCCCTTCAGGCCTCGTTCAGGAAAGTGTGCGCTCTGAGGGCAGCAGTCTCAGCTGCCTCCTCTGTGTGTCCCTGCATCTAGCAAGGAGCCTGACACAGACATCCAAGATGCGACATGCAGCTCATGGGCCGGAGTCCATGCCTGGTGTCCGCAGCCCCAGATTCTTCTAACTGACCCCCCTAGGCCAGGCCCTCTTCTGGTTACAGATGTTCTCACTGAAGGTTTTATTTTAAAATATATTTTTATTTATTTCAGAGAGGAAGGGAGGGGGAGAGAGAGAAACATCAGAGATGAAAGAGAATCATTGATTGGCTGCCTCCTGGATGCCCCTTGAGCTCACAGCCCCAGCATCTGCCATTGACCTGAATCCAACCGGAACCCTTCAGTCCGACCCTCTACCCGCTGAGCCAAGCCAGCTACCGCCTCACTGGAGATTTTTCAAAGATGTCTGGAACCCTTGCTCTGGACCCTGATATAAAAGGACATTGGCTGCTCTAACCAGTTTGGCTCAGTGGATAGAGCATTGGCCTGCGGACTAAAAGGCCCCAGGTTCGATTCCAGTCAAGGGCATGTACCTTGGTTGCAGGCACATCCCCAGTAGGGAGTGTGCAGGAGGCAGCTGATCAATGTTTTGCTCTCATCCATGTTTCTAACTTTATCCCTCCCCCATCCTTTCTGTAAAAAATCAATAAAATATATATATATATTTTTTAAAAGGATATTGACCTTAAAAGCTGGTGGGCCAGTGTTGCTCAATGGTTGAGCATCGATTGACCTATGAACCAGGAGGTCATGGTTCAATTCTCAGTCTGGGCACATTCCCTGGTTGCAGGCTTAATCTCCAGTAGGGGGAGTTCAGGAGGCAGCAGAGCAATGATTTTCTCTCATCGTTGATGTTTCTATCTCTCTCTGCCTCTCAACTTCCTCTCTGAAATCAATAAAAATATGTTTTGGGGTGTCTTGTGTTTTGTTTTGTTTTGTTTTTTAAAGATGGCTTTTGCTGATCTAAACACTCCTGACTACACACCTGCAGACTTAAGCCATGAGTGAGAAATAAATTCCGTTGCCATCTGGCTGCAAACTGCAGAACCAAGAGGGAGTAATGTGAAGCCTAAGAGCTCTCTGAAAAAGCAAAAAAGTGGCAAGAAGCCCTGGGCCTGGAGGCTCAGCTGGCTGGATCGTCGTCCCGATACCTCCAGGTCGATTCCCAGGTCAGGGCACATGTAAGCTCTCTAACAATCACTAACAACATGAAAGACAGGCTTCCACACCAGACCGCCTCCTAAAAACACGGCCGTCGGGTCTGGTCACTGTCTCCAGAGCGGCTGGCATTTGCGTCTTTCGCTTTCTGTGCGGGACGCGCCCCAGGCTCTCTCCATAAACATCCGTGGAATGAATGAATTACAAGCCGGGATTTCAACTCTAAGAACTCCGGGAAACTGGGGTCTCCACCCAGGGCCCTGGAAGCTCTGCATGGGGAAGCCACTGTCGGTAGGCTCTGAGAGCGTCCTAAGAAAGACCCTCAGGGTGGCCGCGGGGTGCGGCGCCCGGGGACTCCGGGGGACAGGCACTGGCAGCCGTGCGCGGGATCCTGCTCTCCCTCCCAATGGCCGCTGCGACAGGTTTGAGGCGGAGTCCGGAATGATCGCGCGACTGTCTCCTGTTTGCACCCGGTTTACGGATCTCAAAAGCCGTATTTGAAAAGCATATTTTTAAATATGCTGTAAAAGAATTGGCAAGTGGATTTTGCTAAAAGAGCACTCTGGCCCGTACGGGGATCGAACCCGCGACCTTGGCGTTATTAGCACCACGCTCTAACCAACTGAGCTAACCGGCCAGCTAGGGTCTGGGCTTCGCCACGATGCCTATGAGGGTTCTACGCCTGCGCTCGCCGCCAGCGGGCCCAGCGCCCCGGGGCGACTCCGGGATGCCGGCTCCTTCCCGCGGCGCCTGACGTCATTCCTTCGGGCGAGGAAAAACTTGAGGCCCTGGGGCTTCCCGGAGAAGGTAGGCGGCCTCTTGGAGCGAATGGGAGTTTTTCACGGGGAAAATGCAAAGGGCCTCCGCTCCGGAGAAAGGTTTTCAGATACCGCAGCTCAATGCTGACTTCATCTCGGAGAATCCTTGCCGCTTGGAAACTTCCTCTACCCAGAGCTTTCGCTTTGGCTAAATAAAGCTTAGAAAATAACAGAAAACCCGAGAAATGACGAAAGAACCACCGAATTTCCCACCGCCCATCACAACCACGCTGGGATCTTGGCATTCTTCCTGCCATTGTTTTTTAATTTTCAGACATATTCAGGGTGTCCCCCCAAAATGTATACGCACTTTAACAGCTCATAGGTCAATGGATGTTTCTTTCTTTTCAGATTTAACCCACAGGAATATATCATTATTCAAAGTGTGTATACATTTTTGGGACACCCTGTATCTATATCTATATATCTACATCTTTCTCTATCTCTATCTCTATCTCGATATATCTATATCTGTATCTGTACCTATATCTATATCTATAATTCAATCTAACCTTGCTTAAGATACCATTTTAATCTTGCATTTTTTACTTAGTATTCTATCATAAGTCTATCCCTAATAATTGCAAATACCATTTTAAACGGTTCCTCCATGTCTGCTCCCCCTTTTATCTGGAAAATGTCTTCATTCACCCTCTGACTAAGTAGCACATGAATAAATCCTGGACTAGCTGCTGGGTGGGCAACTGACAATATTCACTCCAAAGGGCCAGGGTCTGCATGCAGTGAAATAAAGCAGAGAGAAAGTGTTGGGAAGACAACAGTCAAACGTGTCGGTTCCCCAAACGCGGATGTCCCAGGGGCCACTGGCGCTCTGAGGGGTCCCTCCTCTGGTCTGGATGCTCAAAAAACTGCTCCCAAGCCCAAGTTTCATCAGGGTTCTCTGTTGCGAGCAGGAAATCCAAGTCTCGCTCATCTCGCAGAACAGATTTAGTTGAAAGGATGTTAGGCAGGGCACCAGGAAGGTTAGAGACCCAGGCGTAGACAAAGGACCACTCAGTCAAAAATAGTCACTAAGCCTGAGAGTGCCCTGAACCCGCTCCACCAGCCGTGAGTAAAATACATGCCCAGTCCCCTGGGCGTTAGCAGTGGCAGGGGACAGAGCGAGTGGCGTGCTCGGGCTGTGCTCAGTGCCCCGTAAAGAAAGCCTCCTGGTCATGGAGGGCTGGGCCGGCTCCTGAGACGGGGACCTTTGACCGTGTTCTGAAGGGCAGCAGTGGGTAGGTGTAGACCAAAGCTGGTAGAGCCTGTGGGCAGAGGGAATTGCTGGTGATGGCAGGCATCCTCTCCATTGCTTACACCTGAGTGCCCGGAGCTTGGCACAGTCTGCAACAGTACGTGTTGAGGATCAGGAGGCAGATGGATGAATGATATCATTTAAAAAGCTTATCTTTTAAAACATAGTCATTTCACTGTTCAAACTCTCCACTTCTGGCCAGGCCCTGATAGGATGGCCAGATTTTGCAAATAATTTCATATAAGTACATGTTATGCAATATTCGGGACGAACTTATACTAAATTGGTAGTTGTGTATCTGAAGTTCAACTTTAACTGGAAGTTCTGTGCTTTCTCTGGCAACCCTACACCAGAGGAGCAGCCTTTGGAAAGAACCCCTCTAAGAGGGCGGTGCCCTGCATGGTCTGGGGGAAGGGGACAGAAGGGATGAGAGGAGGAGCACAGAGGCTTTGGTGGGGGAGGAGCGGGAACGGTGTGCTGAGCATTGTGGGGTGGAGGTGTCTTTGGGACCTCCAAGCTGGCAACAGATCTCGGGGTTCCCAGGAGAGGCCTGGGCTAGTGGTGCTGGGAGCCTTCTGGGAAGATGGCAGTGAAAGCTGTGGGTACGACCAGCTTGTCTGCGGCTGGAGGGGGGTGAGAGCGGGTGGGGTGCACCCCGCGGTGAGTCACACGGAACACATAGTCCCCAGAAGGACGGGTGTAGCTAGTGTGGAGGCTGAGGGAGGGAGGTTCACAAAGGTAGGTCAGCGGGGTGGATGCCAGAGGTGCCAGGGGCCTGAGAAGGTGTGGGAGGCAGGCAGACCAGTTGGCCAGGCCCTGCCAAGACCCAGGGACAGGGGTGTCGGGGGGACCTGGGATGAGAACAGTCAGCTAAGAGGGGCAGGCACATCCCAGATCCATTCCAGACCCAGGTTCAGGGGAGCGATCACCTGTGGGAAGTGGAGAGAGGAGGGGTCCAGCCCGCACCCCAGGTTTTGGCTTCTGTGATTGACAGCTGGTGGCCTTGGATAAGCAGGGAGCCCAGAGGAGCCAGGGAGAGTGGGGGAGCCCGCAGCCCGGGCAGGGGGTCTAAGGCAGCGACCTCA